CTCTCTCTCTCTCTCTCTCTCTCTCTCTCTCTCTCTCTCTCTCTTCCTCTTCCTTCTGGGCATTGCTTGTCCTACTTGCGGTACTTGACACACATGGACACAGACTGTGTGAACAACAACCAGAGAGAGGCCGAGCCAAACCTCAATCCAGCTCCAAAGAGAATAATTTTTGCCAGTTTTGTTGCCACTACCAGCTTTGGGCCTGGGTCTGGCCTTTGGTAGCAGAGCTGTAACCCCTTTACTCCCTTGCTTCATGTATAAAAGTGTTTTTGCTTATTCATATGTCAAACCCCGGTTATCCTAACTGTCCCCACTGTGCTTCTCATAGGCCTTTGTGAAGGATGTTCACGAAGGATCGGTCACCGTGGCATTTGAAAACAAGTGAGTAATGCAAATACACAATGCGACGCTCTGTAAAATGTAACCTTTTCGCCAGTGACGGACTTCACTCTTGTTTGTTGTGTGCGTGTCCGTCTGTCCACAGTTGGCAGCCGGAGCGTCAAATCACATTCCAGGATGTGCGTTTCCCTCCTCCGACGGGCTGCTGCAAGGAGATCAACGAGAGCGACGAGGTCGAGGTGGGTTCGGTTCAGCGCTTTCACGAGTATCTCCATCGGATGTAGTTTATTTAGGAAGGATAGGACATTGTGCAACGTATGATGGGGTGCAAGAGATAAAGCGCACAGATAAAGCGCACAATCGGCTTTGTTGGCTGAACAGATTCTGTTGCATTAACTAGTAAGACTTGAAAAGAAAATTGAAGTGGCGATTATGCCTTGAATTAGCAATATTGTCTTTCTTTGTTTCATTTGTTGTGTGTGTGTGTGTGTGTGTGTGTGTGTGTGTTGCCAGGTGTATTCCAGGGCTAATGACAAGGAGCCGTGTGGATGGTGGCTGGCCAAGGTTCGCATGGTGAAAGGAGAGGTAGGACTCAGACCGTCTCTAAGTGTGGGTTACAATATCGCGCAATGCGGGGCAGGGTATCACGATATCAGCGGAATAAATAATAATAATGAACATCAGTTCATTGGTTCTGATAGCATAATGTATCAGAATGCTCATTAAAGTATTTGAAGTGACTCGGTGTCGACGATCAGCCTACGTAGACCATCATCCCTGCTGGTTTTGATGACAGCTTTGTGAGTTTACTTCCTGTGATTCAAGGTGTCACTGCTTTGATCAGGATCCAAATATCGTCTTTTGAACGAGGGATTGGAGTGTGATTTAATTGCGGCCAACCTGTCAGACTGGTCTCACTGCTGTGAGCGGGTTTTTAATCTCCGTGTAGTGTCCAGATCTTTAGCAGTATGTAAACCTTTAGTTGACGCGTGTTTCTGGTCCTTAGCACATAGCTCACACCGACACCGCTCGTAGATGAAAGCAATACGTGTTTTTATTGATCCAATTTCCTTCGTACAAAACGACTTCCTTTATTCCTAAAAGTACCCTGATTACCTCGACACACTTTAAGGATCCACAGGTTAATCCACAGAGCACGTTTCACATAACACGTTTCATAACACGGTTCATAACACGGTCGGAAAACTGTGCGGCTCCATACTGCTTCAGATATTACTCACAACTGTCAGTAACTGTCGCAAAGTGACCTTAAAGTGACAGTTGTCTGTCACTTATATGTATTCCTTACTATAACAAATTATAACGACATCCTTGTAACATTCAAAGTAGAAACAGATGTGATTACAGTTAAACATGTAAATACAAGTGAATATTTAACAGCACATTGAATTTGGTTCTTACACTCCGTATCTCATCAATTGTCATTTTCTGCCTCTTTCTCTCTCGCTCTGCCTTAACCAAGTTCGTTCCAGAAAGTATTGTATTATTTTATCAAAACTGAAGTTTTGATCGACAGTTATTACTTATGTCGCACATGTTGCTTTTCCATGTGCTAAATAGGGCATTAACGTAACCCATGTCTCTTTGTATCTCTAGTTTTACGTAATAGAGTACGCCGCGTGTGACGCTACGCTAAATGAGATTGTGACGCTGGAGCGGTTACGGCCGGTCAACCCCAATAAACCAGCCACCAAAACCACCTTCATCAAGATCAGACTGGAGGTACCCGAGGACCTACGGCAGTTGTGAGTCTGATGGGACACTTCTATGTCCCGCAAATACACACAAGTAACGTTTTGGTTGGATAAATTCCAACGGCTTGTGCTCAGATAGAAACTGACTGATGCAAGTTTCTTTTATCGTTGTAATTCTTAAAGCGATATCATCAGTTGGGGGAATATCAATATCGCCCAACATGTACATGTTTGTATTGGGCTCTGAAAAAGACTAAAGAATGCCTCCATTAGAAGGCCAGCACAGTGTGTTCAGCTTTACACAAATCTGTCAGCTATCGGTGATGATTACTGAATTATTAACATGACGTGAGTTATTGCTCCGTGTCGACAGGTGCTCCAAGGAATCGGCACACAAAGACTTTAAAAAGGCCGTGGGGGGGTTCAACGTCACCTACGACTCTGAGAAGAAGCAGCTGGTCATCTTGGTTGGTGGAATCATTTGTTTTCATTGATATCGCATCATATCGTAGATCACCTCCATCGGTGACGTGTTTTCAAAAGACGGATTGTGTTTAAGCTGCGATTGTTCTCGCAGTCTATGAATGAGGTCACAACCAAGCGGGCCAACATGATGAGTGACATGCACTTCAGGAGCCTCCGCACCAAGCTGACGCTCATGCAGAGGAACGAGGAGGCCAACAGACAACTGGAGGTGCGTCTGTGTACACACACTTACACTCACACACACACACACACATGATCGTTTTGCAGATAACAATGATTATAGCTTCATTATGGATGGGTATCGTTAGGAGTTATTGATACTAATATTATCCATGCTGCTTATCGGCTCGGTTCCTTGTCGATTAATTCAATTAAAAAACAATCACCATTGCTTTATTACTCGTATGTAAACAAATAGTCTTTCCTGAACGGCGACAGCAGAAATATTAGAATAACTCACTGTGGTTGACTCTACTCTTTCAATGGCAACAATACATGTAACTTTGAGAACATTCCTACAGGGAGGAGCATATGTGAAGGTAAGAGCCTCGGTCCTCTCCCGACAGTAAAGAAACTGTTATTGTTATGGTGTGTTGGCTGCAGTGCTAGTGGGACTCATAACACTAACTTATAACAACACAGCTGCAACCCTTATTAATAACTATGTATCAAACAACTCCATATACACTCACTGACTTATTAGTTGTTAAATCCTGAATCCCTTTGACTCCACTGTTGAGAAGGGGTGCAGGCCTTTAACAATGAACTGGGTAACAGCTCTATGACACTGTGTCATCTTCTGCTGGTGTGAAGGGACTTGGGCTGGTGGTGGTGGGGGGGGGTGGGGGGGGGGTGTTATGGCTAAAGCCTCAGCCTACAAAAAAGTTCCCAGACCCTTAAAATACAGTCGCAGCTAAACAGTTAGCTGAGCGATTAGCTTTCATTATCAAACTCTGTATGGCTGCTAGTGTTAGCTGCAGTGGACGAGGACGCACAGCTGCTCGACAAACCGTAGAAAACTCTTCATTTCTGCACATCGATGTTCTGCTTGTTGGCCAAAATGTTGTGATAGACGGCTGGTGTTTCCTCGCTTACTTTTGTGGGTTTTATTGCATTTGATACGAGAGTTCTCAGCATCTACTGGAGTGAAATGTATCTTTTTCTTTTGAACCGAGCAATCGGGCGGGGAATCCCTAAGCTGCATTAAAGGATGGTCCATCAGGATTCACCCCTCCGTTGTGTTTCCTGCAGAGTTCCAGACAGCTGGCGTCGCGGTTTCATGAACAGTTTGCTGTTCGGGACGATCTAATGGGTCTGGCCATCGGGACCCACGGGGCCAACATTCAGCAAGCCCGTAAAGTCCCCGGAGTCACCAACATAGACCTGGACGAGGAGACGTGCACCTTTCACATATACGGAGAGGTAGGATGTCTCTGTGTTACTGAGGATACGTCCCGCCTAAGGATTCCTTAGTATAGACCTGGGTGTGTACGCTCTGGATGAACCAGTTTCAAAGCTTCTTGGTATTATGTAACATTGAGCGAGGTAAGCGAGTGACACATTGCTGCTGTCTGTCCAAGGACCAGGATGCTGTGCGCGTAGCGAGGAGTTTCCTGGAGTTCTCTGAAGACGTCATCAAAGTTCCCCGGAACTTAGTAGGTGAGAGAAGTCCCTCAGCTGAGACAATGAGGTCATCCATGCATGAACCTACTCAAAATGAGCCAGACTGTTGAACCTTGAAGTCCTAGCAGACTGTGACTGATGGCGTTTCTGCTCTTATAGGGAAGGTGATCGGCAAAAACGGCAAACTGATCCAGGAGGTGGTCGATAAGTCTGGGGTGGTCCGGGTTCGCATTGAGCCGGAGAACGACAAAAAGCCCTCGGTGGCAGCAGCGGCAGCATTAGACGAGGTCAGTGGACCAACACCTCTGTTTACTTAGTCACTGCGAGGAACTTTCATTTTGGGTAGACATTGGCGGTCCCTGTGGACATTGTAAACATGAGTTTATGGTCTTCTTCAATACAGCGTGATGTTTTTTTTAGTAACTTATGGCCGAAGGAGGCGCCGCTGGAGTCTGAGCTGAAAGACTTTCTCATGAACTGGCATCATAGACAAGATCATTTATTCTTCCTTCTCAAACCTCTCTCACAGGGAATGGTGCCGTTTGTATTTGTGGGGACCAAGGAAAGCATCACCAACGCTACAGTGCTGCTGGACTATCACCTCAACTACCTTAAGGTGCGTCTAATCACCGAAGATAATGTATTCATATGAATGTGAGTTTAGGCTGCTGGTTTGTCTCCATGCTTCCTCTGCTTTTTGCAAAAGTTATCACATTTAAAGATGGAAACTGCCAACTTTTTTGGGGGCTTTTGTCAGTAATCACACTGAGCAAAAAATATTTTTCCACAAAAGCATTATAAGTCTTCTTGACTGTTCCTGTGAGTAGAGGGCAAACAGAGACCAGAGGGGCTGCATGTGTGACCGTAAATCACACCAGAACTGTATTTACTGATCCACTACATTTACTCGCTGGTTCCTTCAAGCACCCATGAAACAAATGATCTCGGTCCAACTCAAGAGCCCAGTTTACGTGAAGTCTCACCACCACACTGACCCTCCTGGGACGCTACAATGCTGCTATTGAACGCAGGCTACTTAGTGCTACGAATTGTCATGTGTTCTCCGTGTCCACAGGAGGTGGACCAGCTTCGCCTGGAGCGTCTTCAGATCGACGAGCAGCTGAGACAGATCGGAGGGGGAGGCGGAGGAGGAGGGACGGGGCCGCGAAACCTCAAAGACAAAACCTACGTGTTCGACAACGGCATGGGGCTGGGGATGGGGCTGGGCATGGGGATGGGGAGAGGGGGAGCAGGTGGAGGAGGGAAGCCCTACGGAGGAAGGGGAGCAAGAGGCGGCAGAGGGCAAAGAGGAGGAGGTACAGCTTTCGCCTCAGGTATGATAAATTCATCCAAACTCGTTTGAATCAATTATATTCACATCTTCTTCAAGTACTGTGCTTGTACACATACGAGGTAAACACACCGATCTGGGGCTTTAATGTGAAATACTCATCTCGAGTGTTTGACAGTTACAGTTAGCCCCTGAGTACAAGTGCCACCACTGGTTTCGATGTGAAGGGCTCAGTGACTCGGTGAGAGAGCTGATTCTCTGGTTTAGATGAGGTTATTTTCAGCTATATTCCATGAAAGTCCTGCCCCCAGGGGGTGATTGTATAATACAACTAAATATTAATCAAACATAGTATTTCTGAGGCAGTTTAAATGAGGTTTGACTCGTGCACTCCCCTCCTTCCCCCAGGCACCAACTCGGAGGCGTCCAACGCCTCGGAGACGGAGTCTGACCACAAAGACGAGCTCAGCGATTGGTCGCTGGCCCCCGCCGAGGAGCTGCTGACGGGAGGCGGGACCCTGCCCAGGCGGTCAGACGGGAGGAGGAGACCAGGCGGGGGAGGGCCGCGGGGACGAGGGGGGAGAGGAAGAGGAGGGGGAGGGTATAAAGGTAGGTGCCAGTAGTTCACCATCGGCCGCCATTGATCCAGAGAAGACGAGTCAAGTCTAAGCCGCAAACGCTTGATAAAACAGTTTTTATTAGTTTAGTTATACAACTTTAGTCCTATTTTTTTTTCTTCTTCTGCTGTTTAACTGGAGATAAAGCTAATTTTGAAGATAGTAAATAGAGATTATTTTTTTAATGACAAAGAAATGAGTGTGTGGTAAGTGGACTCAGGTGTTGTCCATCCTGGTTCTAGCTGACGACATGCAGTGGAGCGAGCCAAGGCCCCGTCATGTCAGAGACCCCAAGGCGAGAGCGCAGGAAGAGACTCTACAGGTACGAGACACACACACGATCTTCTCTGGTTACATCTGAACAATATCTCAGAAACACTCCACCAATCGTTGTTGTTGTTATATATATATATATATATATATATATATATATATATATATACACACACACACACACACAGTTGTGTGAAAAAGTGTTTGCCCCCTTCCTGATTTCTTATTTTTTGCATGTTTGTCACACTTAAATGTTTCAGATCATCAAACAAATTTAAATATTAGACAAAGATAACACAAGTAAACACAAAATGCAGTTTTTAAATGATGATTGCCCCCTAAACCTAATAACTGGTTGGGCCACCCTTAGCAGCAACAACTGCAATCAAGCGTTTGCGATAACTGGCAATGAGTCTTTTACAGCGCTGTAGAGGAATTTTGGCCCACTCATCTTTGCAGTATTGTTGTAATTCAGCCACATTGGAGGGTTTTCGAGCATGAACCACCTTTTTAAGGTCATGCCACAGCATCTCAATCGGATTCAGGTCGGGACTTTGACTAGGCCACTCCAAAGTCTACATTTTGTTTTTCTTAAGCTATTCAGAGGTGGACTTGCTGGTGTGTTTTGGATCATTGTCCTGCTGCAGAACCCAAGTGCGCTTCAGCTTGAGGTCACGAACAGATGGCCGGACATTCTCCTTCAGGATTTTTTGGTAGACAG